GAATAATAAAATTGTCTGAGCATGTGAATTTTAAGCACTAAGCATGATACAGAAACAAGAATATTTTTTCTGACAGAAACTGGTGACTAATGCAGCTTTCTTCCTTAAAAGTATTTTCTTCGGCTGAACATTAATCTCTTGGCAGAAATTTCTGGAAAAATTAGATATTTCTCAATAAAAATTTATAAGAAAAGAGATGTTTGAGCTAGCTAACAAAACAGAATTGACAACCTTCAGAGGTGGCAAAGTCTCATTTCCAGTAGAACTAGAGCAACATAACAATTTTCTTTTTTATGTATATAAATAAGTATATATATATCCTATTACTGTGATAATAGCCTTATACTAAGCCAAATGGGGTTCTAAATTACTCCTAGCATCTTGTTGGAGTAGTATGTCTAGGCAAGTATGTCCCTCCTCCCCATCTGTTTGACTGATAGTTTTCTCCGAAATCCTAAAAGGTGAAAACAATTAAGTTAAATAGTCACATAGCTCTAATTGAGAACCTGCGGGTGGCTCTGTGTGTCACTTCTTCCATCACAAATCATGTCAGCTACTGAGGAAGTATTGAGTACAACTTATCATTCATAATGATTTAAATTTTCTTTTTAACTTGCATACTTTTCCCTAACCTTCACTTTTACTTCAGAGCTCTTAACGAGAAGGACTTTACAACCATAAGCAATATTTTTCCAATAGACTATCTGGCAAAAGGTTTTTCACTAGTGTTCTTGACTCAGTCTGGTGCTTTGTTCTTTTTCTAGCTTGCACAGACAAAGAACTGAGGAATCTCGCTTCGCGACTAAAAGACTGGTTTGGTGCTCTTCACGAGGACGCAAATCGTGTCATTAAACCAACAAGCTCGGAGACGGCACAAGGCAGTAAGAAAACACCTTTCCTCTTTAACATTGAGTGTTGTAGGCAGCTTCCCAGCCTGAGAGAGCGTTCAGCTGAACACAGCTGTTAGTGCCACAAAGTCATGTCAAGGAGGTGCCAGCAAGTAAGCAGGTACGCAGGAGACCTGATCCTGCAAATAAATAGCTGCACCATTTTCTAAAGGAGTTGCAGTCGTTCTGTACTCTCTCTGGCCCAAACTGCGCTAAAAACTGGCAGGCAGACACAGAGAGACCTTTACAAGTTAATCAGGCAAATAACTGTGTCTGAAGGCCATGGAGGTCACATCTATACTAGTAAATAAAACTGCTCGGGGACTTTACTCAAGCCCTGAGGTTAACTAGCATGACATAGTTCATGTCTGTACAGTTAAACTCCATGACCCTCCAAATCAGTGTGGCTACATCCAAATCACTTCTTGGGGATGGACCGTAGTGTATGCTTACCCCCCAGTTTATATCCAAGCATTTTCTGACCCAATGTCAGTGGCATGAGCCAAAAACGTGGCATACAAGCATAAGGTAAATTATGCCAATGTTGGAAAAGGCTCATTTCGATTTAGTTTGCAATTCCCTGCTAACACCTTATATAAAAGAAAGAATAATAAAAGCATCCACATCGCAGCCACAGAGCTGGAATAGTTAAATGGTGTGGAAAGCTGGAATCTGTTGTGTCCCAGGTATTTAATAACACCATCTTTGCTTCCTTTGATGCTTTTTTTTTAAGAAAGGAAGAAAATGAACAGTTTAGAGGACGTTTATTCTCTGTGGGTTAAGCCAACATGACTGATTTTCATGTCATTTACCCACTAGGGAGTGGATAGATTCAGATAACAGCATCAAAAGAGGTCACGTTCATCAGAGAGCAGATGCGAATTTATTTTCTGTAAGGACTCATTAATCCTTTTAAATACTATGTCCCAAAACACGTGGGGCCTTGGGTTGCAAAGTAGGATGCACAAGTTTTATGTAGGTGTGTGACTCACCTTCACTTCACTGCCCTGATTCTCTGGTACAAGCTGTCTAAAGCCAGGGTCCGCACACACAGAATTTAAAGGGTTCAGTCAACTGCTCCCTTTTACAGCTCTTTTGACTCCAGTGCCTCGTTTCCCTGTAGTTTGAGACTGGAGAGGCTGAAGGTGCAGTAGAGCAGACCCAGCACACCAGGATGGGCATTTACTGGTCGTCCATGTCTCCACAGCCACTCTTCCTTTGTGCTACTTCTGAGTTTGTGTAACAATAGATTGCCGCTTCCTAAAGAGATAGAATATACCACAGGCTATATTGCTCAAAACTGTAGTCAAACCTCATTAGTACCAAATAATTGTGTCTTAAAACTATGTGGTGAAACAAGCCATCTTCTGTGTAAATGATCTTTTTCATATGTCACTTACTTTCCATAGTATTCACAGCAAAGTCAGTATCGTTAAAACCGTATGTCCTACTTATTTCTTAAATGGTACTCCAAAAAAGGATATTATGCAGAGGAAGCCAAGCCATAGTGCAAGAAGACAACCAGATGTACAGCTCATCATGGCTTCAAGGTGGGAATTCATTTCAGACCCCATGACAGGCAACACCAGAGACTTAAAAGTTTGTCTGAAGTCCTTTAGTCCCAGAACCACATGAAATCTCATTTTATCAGATTGTCAAAAGGATGTTTTTCTTGCAGATGACCTGTGAGCTGCTTGTGACGGCCTTATCAAAGGCCAAAGACCAAATTAATTCCTAAAGGTGTTGGGTCTTTTTTTTTTTCCTGAAGCAATTTCGGTGAGAAAAACATTCCTGGTAATTCTGTAGTGTTTGCTCTGATTCACAGAGGAGCTGTTATCTCTTTTAGTTTGGTTTGATTCCTGGCAGCTTTTGTATGAAAGGCTGCCTTGATGATCTTAAACACTTGATCTCAACAATGTTCATTTTTAGACTGTTGACTTAGTTTGGCACATTTTCTTATTTCCTTATATGTCAGTTAAAAAAAAAAAAAAAAAAAAAGAAAGAAACTTTATGAGTTAAGATGCCTAAATTGTTTTTGAATGCCACAAAACTTGAGTTTGCTTTTCTTTTAAGAGTTTGCAACAGTATTCATGAATTAATCCGCATGTGCCAAATTCTGCAGCTCCAGTTCTCTCTGATAGCACTGAAAATACACACAGAGTAAGGACAGCAGTACTTGGCTTCCTCTAACTTAACTTCAAACATTTGTAAAAATGAAAGACATCTTAAACAGGGCTCAGAATTCAAAGCAAAGTTCACATACCCAAGCTGACAAAAAGAATTTTTGTGAATCCTGGCAAACAGGACACACGTGGCTCTGGAAATATGCTCTGATGTACACATTGCCCTTTTTTTATTGCTCTGCATGTGTTGCCCTCCTCACCAGGCTGATCACTTCATTAAACTGAACTGGTTAGGTTATGCCTGTAGAGTCTTAAAAGGCATGCACATCCTCAAAGTAATCCATTTTGGATATGCCCCTGTGACAGTAAAAGGAACAGATGGTGGAATGCGATGACTATGATGCCTCGGACACATCAGCTGTCTAGAGAAGGTGTTCCAGCAGAGATTTCTCTATGCTACCGTAAATTTTCAAGATGTTACTGTGAGTGTAAATAAGCTTTTTGAGCGTATTAAGTTCACCTCCAGGTGAAGAAAAAAAGTACACTTCTTTTTTTTTTAGCTCTCTTGAAAGGGAAAGGAGGAGAGCAAGTCATTGTGTTTGAAATCTCAAACCTTCATTCAATGAGCTATCTGCCAGATCCCAGCAAAGCACCATAGGCCAGGAACTTTGTCTTCTGCACACTCTGTGCAATTGAAATCTCCTCAATAAATAATATAAGCAACTCAGGGACATGCTTTGACATAAGGAAATAATTAATTAGGTGGTAAGATCAGATTCAAATTATTCCTGAGCCTCTTGATAATTCATAACATTCCCATACTGTATCCAAATAGTCTCTTTGGTTGGAATGGGAGTTGTTTTTCTTTTACTAGAGAACTATGCAATATAAAGGATTTTTTCTGAGGAACATTTCTTCTCCTTCTTCCTTTATTTTAAGTGATGGGGGAAATTAGGTTAATTATTCCCCTGTTAATTTAGCTGTAGTATATTTTCATAAAATAAAACTGGCTCATCTAAGTCAACTCTTGAAGGAGGAAAATAATTTTATGTGCCAGAAGGTGTGTTTATTTTTAATTAGGATTTTCACATAAAGACTTTTCTAAATTTAATTCCATTTTAATTCAGAGGAGGTGGAGCGTTTTACGTATTAATGGGATATGAGACTTTACATGTAGGTCACCGGTTTGATTTCCTTCCAGATCTGTAGTGAATGAAAGTTGTTAGGATGGTGAACAGCTGTCAGTCAGAATGAGAAACATGATGGTCTCAGTCCAGGTCCTCGTGAGCAGGTGTCTAAATGAGAGCAACCACCACCACAACTGACATTAATTGGCATCTGTGTTGGCAGCCTCTGCCAAGGAGCCAAGAGCAGGAGGGATACGGAGCCTGCACCATTCTCTTGCTTCTCACCATAAGCACGGCAGTGCTGAGCTGGTGCACAGAAAGATGCAGAAAAGTTTGCACTGAGGTTACTGTTATTCTGGGTCTGTTGTGCTAGAAATCCAGCCTATTAACCAAGGACTTAATTCATTCAGAATTACAGTATGTGGTTTATTTCATCCAGAATATTGCATCCTATTTATAAGCAAGTATATCAAAAGACTCCAAAAAGGAGTTAATTCATTCAACACCACTTGACCTCACCAAGCTGATGGGAGCACAGTGACCTCCCAGTGAAGGTAAGTGAGCTCCGAGAACCATTTTCCATCAGCTGCCCTGGTTACGCAGTAAGTCAGAGCTGTGTTGCACACTCAGGGCACACTCTGCTTTCATTCCTCTTGCTGGGTGCCGAGAGCATCCAGGATTGCTGGTTTTGGACTGCAATGCAGTGTTGCAAAAGGTGATTTACAGGCGGTAGCTTTTACCAGGAGACAGTATGAAGTGGAGGTAAGTACTACTATTCACCTTCAACCACATCTTGCGGGACAGTTAGAGAATTAACCTTTTCACTGATAATAACCATCTAGTGAAGGTCTTTCAGTCGCACCTACCACTGTAATATCTAAAGACTTCCAGACTGCACTGTCTAATCATCCAGCACTGCTTAATAATACAGCCTCTTAATAAGCCTAATCTGGAACTCTGTTCACAACAGTGAAAACTCCCTTGTTTATAAGAAATTACGATCAAAAACTCTTCAACTAATGTAATTAACTGCCTTCATAAGTGACCTTTCATGTTTGTATCTTGCATCCAAGCCTTGATGGTATGTCACAGAGCAGCTTCGTATTCACATCAGTCACTATCTTGTGATCTGCTCAGACAGATCAGTACTGAGGGCACGCTGCTGTTGTATCCCTGAATGCATGTTGTACACACAGATAAAGACTTCCCAGCACGGAGGAAAACAAGACTCAGAAATAATCCACAGACACTGTCAGGGGCAAGTTCATGTCAGGATCTCCTCCCTGCGTTGATCCTTCCCAGTTAGGAGGTGGCCTTTAGAGACCTACCAGGGCTGAGCAACACATACCATCTCAACTGGTTGTACAGCAGACCTTGTAGTTATTCACCTTGGCAGCACTAAGTGCATAAAGGGCATAAAGAGCATCACCAGGGAGGGGATCTGTGCAGGAAAAAAGCAGCCAACAGAACCCAGCTGGTTTTCCCCTGGAAGCTGCTAAATTGGGACTGCTGAAGCATGTACTGATCCCAGCTCCACCATACAGTTGAATGATCCACTCCTGCCTGTTTGACTACTTTTAGCATGCTCCGTGGTGGTGAATGTGGCACAGCACACACCTGCACAAGGCAGGACTCCGTGCCCTGCTCCTTGGTGTTTTGTAAAGGCAAAGTCAAGGATTCTTAAATCCTTTCGCTCAACAAGAGATTGTAGAGGGACCAAATCCTGCTTGCCTTCTTCAGATGAATAAAATAATTGAAGTCAATAGTCCTAATTGCTTCAGCAAGGCAAGCAGGCTTCCTCCGTACATCTGTTCACATGGCCTTTTTCTTTTTCACTGTGCTCAAACTCGATTAGATAATGTTAGAGGAGATAACAGCACAAAAATGTGATGAAATGTTCAGTGTGATTTCTCTCGTCCCTGCCTGAGCTGCCTCTAGCCCTGAAGAAATGGTGTTACCTTCTTGCTTTCTTAGAGAAACATGTATTATGAATGACATAAACCTTCCCATTAGTTAACCCTTCTGATTGTTCCTCCATGTCACTGACAACCTTCAACTGCAGTTGCATACAAAAAGCACAGCTTCCAGCAGAAAGCACTGCCCTCCTTTGGATTAATACTTAAAATAGCAGGTAGGCGGCAGAGCTTGGACAAACTGTCAGTGTGATTCCAGCAACATCTTAGGTTTCGCTTTAACAAAGCAGTATCCTGAAATGAGACTTGACACGTACAGCAAAGAAGGCAAAGCTTGACCTCTTTCAATGAAAGATGCAGCAAAGGGAAAAAGCCCATCGGGCTTCTCCACATAGCCCACAGCAGAAGGAATAGTGCATGGGCAGGTTATAGCACACAGCTGAAACCTGTACATCTGTGCCTGTAAATCCCCAGCCTATGTATGCATGTGTCTGAGTCCTTGTTGAAACCAGTATCCTTATTATCAGATTTATTAGCTCTGCATTACAAGTATACTTTCTTACATCACAGATAACTTGGAAATTAGTCCATGTTTGTACCAAGCATTGAAAAATACAGTGACAGTATGGATTTATAATGCCGTGTCTTGTTTGTGAAAGAAGGCAATGCCACTGTTTTTGTGGAGACGTGTATCTCATATACATTGTCGGTATCTATATGCGTGACTTGGTCTTTTCTGGGATAACCGCTGCTGCTGCTGCTGCAGGCTTTTAAGGATCTGGGCTATTAAAATGAATGATGATGATGGTTTCCAAAGTGCTGGAAGAGCAGAATCCTGTATTGCTGCACAATCCTGGAGGCCGCAAGAAGGAGTAGTGCTGGTGTGGCATACAAGAGCATGTGCAGCTCTCTGGAGCTCCCAGCTGAAGCAGTGCCGTTCTTCAGAGTGGTGCAAGCAAAAGAGATGCTCTGTCCCTTCTCTCCCCCTGCCTCCCCCAGACAGCTTGCGATCCAGATCAAAGCATGTTGTTGTCCGCCACAGGAGGCAGGGCTTTGAAGAGTGAAAAGCTATAATGAAAGGTGGAAGGTGAGAGCACAGTAGGAAAGAATTTGATCAGGGAACTTAGAAATGGCTCTGGGAAACAGGATTTAAATCACATTCAGACTCAGTCTAGTTTGAAAATACGGTGGATGCAGCCTTTTCTCATCGCATTTCAGTTTCTTGGAACAAGGCCAACCCCCTTGGACTGAGGATAAAAAAAAAAAAAAAGGTGAGAATTATCTGAGTAGAAATAACTTTCAATTACAGTAATCAGCTGTGAATCTCAGCCCTCCCTCCCCCACAGCTCCTAATGAGTGTGAGTATTGCTCGAGTTTGTTGCTGTGCTTGGGTTTTAAGCTTTACACAATCAGTTCAGTCTTAGAATTTTGTTCTGCTTTAGGCAAGTCAGGTTAATGTTCAGAAACCAGCCAAAAAAAATTAGCAAGGCTTCAGCTTAGCAATGATTCCTGTGCACCGAGCGTGCTGGGGCTCAATTGGGGATATTTGCCTACCTTCTTACAGGATTTGACACCAGCATACTACCAATCTGTAAGGATTCCTTAGGCTGGATGTTCAACAAACTTGACATGAACTATGACCTGCTGCTGGATCCCTCGGAGATCAGTGCCATTTATCTGGATAAGTATGAGCCATGCGTCAAGCCTCTCTTCAACTCTTGTGACTCCTTCAAAGACGGAAAGCTTTCGAACAATGAATGGTGCTACTGCTTCCAGAAGCCGGGCGGTAAGTTGTGCAATTTGCAATAAAAAGAGAAGTTGTTTGAGTCTCCCTGTGTTTCAGGTTTGATCCACCTGCTTCTAGAGATAGTTTGGTAATTGGCAGTCAGCTGTGTTTAAAAGCTCTTTTCTCCAGCACTGATGTGAAAGGGCATTGTGTAACAATGTTTAATGTCACCGATGAACTATATTAATATCCTTTGATCATTAAAACAAAGAAGTAGTAAGTGCCAGTGCACACAGTCTAGAAAAAAAGCTCTATTGCTGATAGAAAGCTCAAGAACTTACTCTTTTATTAATGCAGAAATTAGTCAATTAGCAAATCATAAATTAGAGAGCTGGCATCATGTCAGCTTGGTGAAAAGACACAAAAAATGCTTTAACAATGAAAATGGCCCCCAAACACTCTTCTTAACTACAGTGTGTTGCT